TGTGTGTGTGTTGCCCGCGCCCTTCACCCACGGACTCCCGCTACGTCGTGGGGGATCACCGCCGTCCCCACGCCTCGAGGGGACAGACTTAATTATAAACTGCCAAATAACGACGGGCGGAGGGCGACACGTATTAGACACCATATACATCGGTTATTTAAGGGTAACAACCATTTATTATAAAACCGGACGGGGCTTGACAAAAAAAGACATCGGGGCTGTTAAGATTGGGAGTTACTTATTTGTAATTGGAACGAAATGCACTTGGAGTAGTTCGTGATCTTTCCTGCCAGTCCTGCATTAAAGGGCACAAGTCACTTAGTTGTCTCCGTTCTGTGGTCTGGTTAGATCTCTCAAACGTTACCTTTATTTTCACCACGAACACAAGGGTAAGTTCGAAGCGCCGAGACACACCACACGCCTTTATCGCGTTTTTTTTTAAATCACAACACTCTCTCGCCCCTACTCTCTCTCTCTCTTCCCTCCTCTCTTCTCTCTCCCTGGCCACGGTCGTCGTCCCTGGGCACACACAATCGTTAGACCAATCGATCGACGTGATTGCCTGTCATGCTCGACAAACAAGGTGTTGTTCGACCTCCTCTCGAGAGGTTGGAGAGTCTGACTCTCCGACGTCCACTCGATTTCCTGAGAGACTCACAAAATCTAATCACTATGAAATCAGATTCGAATAGAGTCACCCAGGAGTTTGACCAAACAGTTTTTACATAACGTTTTCTAATAAAGGCGCCGTGTGGAAGTATACTAGTAATATCAATATTTTTTTTTATTTCCGTTATTTCCTTTTTGTCAATACTTTATGATATACGTCATTTTGTGCTTTTATGTCAAACTTCCCCTCACTAAACATTTTATAGGTATTCTTTTCTTGTAGACGAATGTCAACACAAAGTAACCCACGAACCTCTACATAGGTATCTAGAGGAATCGCAACGAGAGTTTCACCGTGTCTACTACGAAAATTGAGTTATAAATTTTTTTAGAAGGGCCCCCTCGTAGGGGGCCTGGGGGGATACTCCTCCACTTCCAGGCGAGGGGTGAGGGCATTTTTTATCGTGAAATGGGGACGTATATACGGTCACTCGACTAATGAAGCTCGGGCAGTAACATTTGTCAGCGCCCAAATGACACACATACGCACCCCCTCAAAAAAACACGTTCACGAGATATCAACGGGCATTATCACAAGTGACCTCAGGTCGTGGAGTCTTGGGGGTGAGTTTTATGGAAGGCGCGGAGAGTGTGTTGTTGTGTGTGGTGCGTGCGTGCGTGCGTGTGTGTGTGTGTTGTGTGTGTGTGTGTGTTGTTGTGTGGTTGTGTGTGTGTGTGTGTGTTGTGTGTGTGTGTGTGTGTGTGGTGTGTGGTGTCGTGTGTGGTGTTGTTAGGTAGGGTTTATCGGCTGTCTGTGGTTTTGTAAATTTTGAAAAGGTTCTGAATTTATTACTGCTCATGTTCCTGGAAAACTTTCGTCAATTCTATTTTGACTGAACGTTCATTTTGCAAGGGAGAGGTTCATTAAAAATGTAGTTGCAACGCTAGCGTCTTGTGCCTACTGTAAGACTCAGCGTCTTTACACTTGAAAATGTCTCAGAACACACATTTCGAGTATCGAAAAACTCCAGACTGTAAAGTCTTTGACTTCGATATTTGAGGAAGTTTCGAGTCAAAGATTTACAGTCTGACTTCCGTTCCACGTGGTCAACAAACACTCCTCCTCTCATCTTTCCTTTCCCTTAAGAATATCGTTTGGCAAAGATACAGTACCACCACAATTAGAAAGTTATACACCTGCGCTTCTATCGACATGAGTTGTACCTCCCGCTCTCAGTCCATTGTGTGATACCTAGGTAGAAACCAAACTTGTAGAAGATTGAAACAGGTCTAGCCCAGTAAAGGGTGAAACATCAGCAACGAAAGTTCGGCCAAACTTACGGATATAAACCCAACTTTGTGGATAAAATAACATTATCTTTGTATAATATTATGTGATGTTTTATATTGCGTTGTAGAAAACAAAAACGAGGGTAAAAAAGTACTCTGACTTGAGTTTCTAGATTGTAAAAGATATATTTGTTTATTGTAAAGAGTAGTTTTTAACAAAGTGTTTAGACTTTTTTAGCACTATCACCTCGTGAGAGGAAACGGCCTCTAGTTTAGGTAGGGTTGAGTGTCCACACCGTATAGTTTCTACGCTCAATCTGTCGTACTCGTCGTCCGTCGTCGTCGTCGTCGTCGTGTGTCGTGTCGTGTCGTGTCGTGTGTGTGTGTCGTGTGTGTGTGTGTGTGTGTGTGTGTGTGTGTGTGTGTGTGTGTGTGTGTGTGTGTGTGTGTGTGTATCAGGACCTGATTCATTGAAGAGGAAGTATTAGATATTGTCTGAATGTCCTCTCTGTATTTTTAATTGGCTTCTTCTCCTGAGGGCCAATTGGAGCACTCATTTAGCTCATATTCAAACACCAGGGTTCATACGGTCATTAAAAACCTGGAAAAGTCATGGAAATTGAAAATGCTAATTCCAAGCCCTGGAAAACAATATTTTTCCCAAAGTTATGGAAAAGTCATGGAAATGTAACTAAAGTTGCATCAAATATAATTTATATTTTGTCTAATCGCCGAAATAGTAATACTATAATGATAATAAATACTGTATGGTATAGTAATGAAACGTGAAATGGCATTTAACTGACGAGGTATTTTGCTGGTGAGAGATTTTAGTTGCCTTAGCGTGTAGAAGCTAGTAAGCCTTTTGATTTGTTTTAGATAGGAACAACATGTTTCATATACAGACCTTATTTTCCTGTTCCATGTTAAAATAAACCATTTTCAGTTGTACCGCTGAGAAAGAGTAATGTTTTTGGTCATGGAAAATTAGGTTAAAGTCATGGA